TCCACTAAAAACAATGCCTCTTCGGGATCGTTAAAGGGGTAAGGGGAGGGTAGAGGTCGAAGGGGGCGTCGGTACAATCATCATATATCTTTTTTTCGCTAAAACGTCTGCTTATTTAGCCAGCAATCTATTATTATGCCGTGTGTTAGCATGCGTGCAAAAGATCGCCCTCTTCGCTCAGGAATATGCCACAAAAAAAGATATATGGTGCACGGTTCCCGGATTATTTGACAGGTTATTGAACCTGAAGCTTAGAGTGAATATTATAACCATTTATTGCAGAGATAACACATAAGTAAGAAAAAAGTGAAAGGAAGCCGAGAAAAATTATATTTGTTTTCTTTTTTTTTTGAACTATTGAAATTTTCGGGAAAAATGCATCTCACTTTATCGGCTCTATCGGAGCATTTCAGTCCCCGGGTCAGTGACTGAATTTCAACATTTGCAATAGAGTAATTCATCTGGCCAAGGAATTCCAATATCCTGCAAAAAGACCACTGAAATGAAAATTTTCAATTATGACTGAAAAGCTTTTAAGCGAGATTTTTTGACGGAAATGCCGTTGTGGCATAGAAATCAGTCAGAAACGACTTGCTCCATATGGAATTAGGCGTAGTTGCGAGCTCACTGGTATTGCCGGTGCGATCACGCGCTTTTACAATCTAAATTTTGCTGCATCCATACAAATTTCAAACACACATGCGACACACTGACTTCATCATTTGGCTTTTATGCAAGGCAAAATCTGCCGTCGAAATTTCGATATTTGAGAAGCACTAGTACGAAAAAATAATTGAGTGTCGGATATCACTAAAAATCATGAAAAGAAAATGGCGCTGATAATTTTTCGAACTAAGGAAAAGAAAATTCATCATACTCACGCGGAAAATTTGAGTGTCTATTTATAGGGACTGAATAAACTGCTAAACGATTTTGGGCGGCCTTGACATTTTTGATATATATTTTTAAATAGGTGTTTGCAAATAAGCCTACTCCAACTAAATCGAAATGCAGCAGTTGTTTAATTATTTTAAATTATACTGCTCAAAATTCGGACGAATTATGCACGAATATTAGAAATCCGAAAAATAAAAAAGTCAAAACTGCACAAAATATATTCAAGTGAAACAATCTCACAACTGTGCTTTGTTTATTAATTGTCGAAAACACTGCGTTTTCAACGTCTGAAAAATCTTTCTTTGTGAAACTGAACATATCGCTCCAAATTCTCGTTCAAATCTCGAATTTGGTTCTAAAAGAGAATGTTGTATATTTGCTTGACAGGGTAGGGTAATAAAATCAGCAAATACGCTGGAACAAACAACAAACTACACCGAATGCTAATGAACGAAAATCCGAAGACATGCGGAAGTCTGCCAACAAAAATTATCAAACCGTGAAATCCGGAAAACGCCGGCTCACCAGTATAGACGTTTTCTCTAGAAAATTTCTTATACTTCCAGGTCTTATCACAATTTTGGAAATTATGTGACAGAATGCTCAGATTAGAGAGTAATAGAGAGGGATGCGAGATGAGAGATGAGAGTGGGTGAAGTTTGATTTTAAGAAACTTCTGAGGAAGACAGAAGGGGTCTTTACCGCATTGATAAATATTACTTTTCTATTCAATCACTTGGATTATTAGAGAATTTCTAGTGTGGAATCAACGGCACTTAGTTGTGGACGCATATTTTACATCGCTATGTCAAGCTTTGTCCAAAGGTTCACTTGCCTGTATCAGCTAACTTTGCTTCCTCACCAACGCAGGTGAACAACCGCTTCCAAAGATTTTATAGCAATCCCTTCCTGTCGCTATCGTAACTAAGTAAATCAGCCAGATCAAAGAGAAGAATGTGCGTATCTCCTCGAAGACCTGTAATGAATTTATATTTTTTTGGAGAATTGGAGGTACTTTAGTACTTTTACTTATTATATTACTATTGTTATTAGCATGGTTTGCAGTTTTTTGTTAGAAAATTTTTCAGTGAATTAAAGAAATTAGACTCTTTACGCAAAAATCCTGGTTGCATGTTACAACGCTGGGAGGTCAAGGCCTTATCCAAAGTGATTTCCATGTCTGTGGTTTTTGCCTTTTTCAGAAATAGGTACGAGAAAATTTAACTTGATTTTTATTCTCTCATGGCAGGACTAGGAACGCTTGCATAAATTTTGTTCGTTCTAGACACTTCAGCATCCTCATTTTTCACTTTTTATTGTCGAATTATAACTCATCAGCTGCCACACAAGAAATTAATTTTGCTAACAGACATTACTGCTGCAATTATGCAAATTAGAGTTTTCTCTAAATTCAAAATTATTGACCTTTTGCTCAGCAACCAATTCGGATAGTCCAAACCACTCATTTTTCATCCCAACTCCAGCAAAATTATACATCTGCACTACTAATTTGCTTATTTCTCTGTAGATTAGTAATAAATTATTAGATGGAGATGTGAAGCTGTTGTTAGCTGATAAGCGGTTATCAGCATGGATGAGATGCAGCTCCAAAATTTCTTGGTGAGGCGTATGCGTGGAAAGAGAGGTCAATTAATCAAGAGCGTCAAACGAAACTTGTCGCTTGCGAATTTCGCCACTTCCTATCCCTCATTTTGCGAATCTTCTTTCAATAAATGGTTTCTTTCTTTCATCAGTGAATTAGGACATACAAGTATAGAACATCTCCATTACATCTATTTTAAAAAGATCATTTCTGATGTATGTGTGCTTTGGGGCAACTCACTCATCACAGCAGCTTTTCAAAAGTTTATAGCGAAAATATGTGACTGTATCGCTGGTATTCCATTGTGCAACTTTCTTTTTTTTTCTAACAACGTAGAAATTCTTTGGATTTTCTCATGTAAGCGCTAAAAAAACAGCATTACCCAGCCATTCTATGACCTTTACTTTTTCTGATCTTGGTATTGCTCTGCCCTGGGCTTGTTTTCCAGGAATTACTTTTTTTTTAAAATCGGTTCTGTATTATTGGGTTTTTTTTTCTCCCGAATTAATTCCATCCTTTTTTCCAGGAGTGCTCTCTGATTCAGTAATTGCTTTACTCGCATTTTGCTGCTCATTGCCTGAACTTATTTTCAAAAACAATTGTGCCAAATTTTAGCGTGCAATTGCAATTTGCATGCAAAAAGATGTCGGTTCAACATGGAGCTGTATAGGCTGAGCGGCAATAAAAGCGGCGGTGTGTGCATCAACTGCCGACACAATACCGCTGGGCGCAACTGTCACTACTGTAAGCCGGGATATTACAGAGACTTGTCCCGATCAATCACACATCGAAAGGCTTGCAAAGGTTAGTCAGCTTATTCGTCATAGATGTCACTTGCTCGAATTCCCAGGAAAATTTTGCAAATTCAAAATTTAAGTCTAAAAAACTGCTTCTATTTGTCCAGAAAATACGAATGGAGTCGATGTCACCAGAACATGGCCATGTAACTGTCTTATTAACAACAGTCCTCTTACTTTGGTAAGCGCACAGAGCAATGAAACTACTCCGTACAGATGAAAAAGGCTATTTTCTCGTAGAACGCTCATCTGCGCATGTAGCATCCAGGTTCTGGATAATGATAAGCTTAGCTGGCAACGCACTAGGCTTGCCGGTGCGATTATGCGGTTTCGCATGATTCCATCCCGTAGAGAGATCATCTGTACTTTATGGAAAAGGCCGAAGGTGGTCGGCATAATTTTTGCCAAAATCAGGCATCAAGAAGGAAATCACAGCAAAAGCATCCGTCGCATTTCTGTTTCACCACTGAACGATATGTCCTTTTTTTTTTAATTTCGACATATGAATTAGTAATTTCAGTGTTGGCATTTTCCTCCAAGTTTTGTTTCAGGAAAAGACAAAAGAGCTTTGCCAGTGGATTAGCCTGATATCCATTGCCTGTAAACTAATAATCCTGAATGCTGAAATGTTCCATTTAAGTGAAGTATTGCATTGTGTGCTGAGTTGAATAATCGCCTCTTCATCGTCTTCACTCTGATCAAATTAAGGAAGGCATTTGGACTCTCAGCAGCCATCAATTCACCTTACCGCCTTCTCATCGTACCCTCGCCCTCACTTACATCTATCCCTCGCTCATCCTTCCCCAACTTTTTACATTTGTTCGAAGGCAAACTAACTCAATTTCAGTCAGTCTCGGAGCAGTTCAGAGTTCATTAATTCAAACACTTCCCATCCATCTTTGCCCAGCAATATTTAAAGAAAATAAGGGATTGTGGGCAAAGCTGAAAGGGGATTGAAATGGATAGAGGTTAGCTGTAAAAATATCGCAGGAATTAGATCGCTGGAAATAGAGAGGAAAAAGAAATTGAGTTGAATTCCGGCCCTTTAAATAACATAATTTCCGTGCCGGTCACTGATAACGGAAATGACTACTCCAGAAAGCATTTTATCACACCATTGCCATCAGTCCTCATCCTGAAATGAACTGATTTATAAATGATTTTTATTGTTACTGCATTCAATCCCTCATCGTAGTTTCCCAAGGGAAAAGCT